CCGCATTCTATCTTTCGCGTTCTACCTTCCGCATTCTACCTTCCGCATTCTATCTTTCGCGTTCTACCTTCCGTATTCTTACTTCCGCATTCTGCCTTCCGCATTCTACCTTCCGCATTCTACCTTCCGCATTCTACCTTCTGCATTCTAACTTCTGCTTTATAAAGCAAAATAGCAGTAGACTTATTCACTACAATGAATATGTTTCAAAAAATTATTCATGATCTGTACGATAATGTTACAAAAGTTCATGTGTTCTCTGTCCTAAAAATACTAGAAATTTTCCTTTGGGTAAATTGAGAGCAAAAAAAGAGCACTCAAAAATTGGTGCGAATTTATGCAAATTTCGATGTACTTTTTGCCCTCCTGTGGGTCATCCACGCCCAATTTTACCCGTCGAAAGGGCGTATCAGTGCTACGTGCTTGAAGTGTGTCACTATTGGGACAATATGATCTAATTATTTTCCTGAGTGTGGGTACAGTAGTTTAATTTGACCCTCTGATAATCTTTAATAAAGTTAAGTACTGCTTTATTTTAATGAAAAAAAATAACTGTTGTTGTGTGTAATACCAGGCTGAGGCATTTAATGAAAAATATATATAACTGTTATTCTATAATGCCGGGCTGAGGTAGAGTGAGTATTTACGCATAAAATAATTTATCGGCGTCTTAAGGCTGGCCGGCGTCTGAGTGTACTCTACTTGATAGATTTAAAGTACACTAAGAAAAATAAATGTGTTGTTTAAATTTTGAAACACTTTCTTACTCACGGCTCACGAAGAGAGCGGACGTAGCTTTAATGCGTCCTTTTACCGAGCAATGACCAGCACACGAGTAAGAAATGTGTTTATATTGGGACAAAGTTTCACTAATTTTTCTTAGTGTCGGTCAAACTGGGTCAGTTTGACCCACACATGGCAAGAAGTGTGTCGCCATTAAGACAAAGTTCCACTAATTTCTTTGAGTGACGGTCAAACTGGGTCAGTTTGACCCACACATGGGCAAGAAGTGTGTCGCCATTAAGACAAAGTTCCACTCATTTCTCACAGTGTCGGCAGCAAAGAAGTGTGTCACCTTTAAGACAAAGTTCCACTCATTTCTCACAGTGTCTATATTAGCTCCTCCGATGAGTCACGTGCTTTATCTTTTCACCGTGCTGGATGATCACGGAATTATCTTGTACTGCATTGTTAATAAGCATTATTTATTTATTGATCTTCTTATTGATCTAGAGATAATGTGATCGCTTCATGGTGCTCGTAAGGTCAAATTATGTCCGATTTATGGCCGATTTATAGCTGACTTATGACCGGCGCGGTAATTCTTCACGTCGCAATCAGTGATTTTCACGCTGAGTGATTTTTAAACATAATAAATATTTATATTATTTCTCGTACGATTATCATACAATATTCAAGATGATCAATCAATGGCATTTATTGATGGGAATTATGCATGAATAGTTCATTGTGAAGAATAACGGTGCCCTCTTAACGGTACCCTCTTAAAGATACCTTCTTAACGGTACTCTCTTAACGGTACCCTCTTAACGGTACCCTTTTAACGGTACTCTCTTAACGGTGCCTTCTTAACGGTACCGTCTTAACGGTACCTTCTTAACGGTACCCTCTTAACGGTACCCTCTTAACGGTACTCTCATAACGATCAGAAAATTTGTTGCAGCCGAGTTATTGTTGTAACAACAATAGTTGATTATCAACAGTTGCAAGCGAGGTATTGTAATAATAATAGTTAATTATCAACAGTTTTATGGTATGCGAGGCATTGTAACTACTCATGGCTGATGAATATCTGCATGCGTTATGCTTTTAGCTTTCACATTTTTTGAAAAATTTCAGAAAAAAATATTAGGCTGATCAAGGTAAATAACAGCTATTTTATCTATCGATTCAAACCCTTCGCGACGGGACGGTTTGCTAGTAGCTATGTTGTTGTATAGATTTTTTATACATTTTAAATATATATTTATGCTTGTTAAAACATATTTATGCAGGTTGGCAGGGTTTACTTTCATGGAATTTTGACCGAACGCCTAATAATGCATTTTTGTTACACTTTTCTTTTTTTTTAATTTGTCAAATGATTTGTTACGCAAGCTTTCGTTGCGAAAAATAAAATTTGTTGTGCATAAACGAAGTTTCGAATGTAACCAAATTGTTTATTAGGTAACAAAAGATTTAAACAATGAGATTTTGATCGAGATAAATACCTGAAATGTTTGAATTTCACCCTACACGAAAATTAAATTCTTAAATTTCTCCGGCCTTTGAAACGAATACATGTATTTATGTATGTATATTTCAAACTGACATATCTCTAGGCCCATCATATAAAGGACGTATAAAAATACATTATTTACCTGTTGAATTTACCTGTTAAATAACTTTTCTTGGTTATAAACACACTTCATCTTTGTTCTTTAATTAAAAACGTGTTTAGTTCATATTCTTTATATATAGCAACTATACATATTAAAGCCTATGTCTAGCAGTCCCTGGGTCTGCGGTCGATGGCGCGACAGCTTCTCTCTGTCGCATGACAAACGAGCTTCGTTTGCTCATAACGACGATTTTGGCCGCTGTTCGCCCCTTGTTAACGCGCCACACCAAGCCATACGTGACAATTATGTGGCTATTTACGCGCCTGACTGTTAGGAGCTTAGCCGTACCCATGCCACATGTCCACAGTCTGTACCCGTGCCACATGTCCACAGAGCTTGGCTGTACCCATGTCAAATGCCCACAGAGCTTGGCTGTACCCATGCCACATGGCGACAGTCTGTACCCATGCCACATGGCGACAGTCTGTACCCATGCCACATGCCCATGGAGCTTGGCTGTACCCATGCCACATGGCGACAGAGATTGGCCATGCCACATGGCGACAGTCTGTACCCATGCCACATGCCCATGGAGCTTGGCTGTACCCATGCCACATGGCGACAGAGATTGGCTGTACCCATGCCACATGCCAAGTTAATTATCAACAGTTGCAAGCGAGGTATTGTTGTAACAACAAAAGTTAATTATCAACAGTTGCAAGCGATGCATTCCAACTAGTCATGGCTGCATGATGAATATCTGCATGGGTTATGCTTCCGAAAAAATATTAGGTTGTTTAGGGTAAATAATAACTATCTTATATATTTATTGGAACCCCTCGCAACGGAACTGTTTGCTAGTTAGCTATGTTGTTATAGAAATTTTTGTATACATTTTAAAATATCTCTTTAAGCGTTTTACACTTTTCTTGTCTTTTTTTTAATCCGTCAAACAATTCTTCTCGCGAGCTTTTGTAGCGAAAAATAACATTCTGGAATAATAATTTATTATGTAGTAATAAAAAATTTAAATAATTAAATTTTGATCTAGACGAATACCGGAAATTTGTAAATTTCATACAACACGAAAATTACATATCGAAAATTTCTCCGAAATTGTTTCCAAATTCATGACTAATCCGGTGGTTTGCAAACTAATAACTAGAGTCTCATCGATATCTTTTCGAACGTCAGCGAAAAAGACATAGTTCCGAGAATGAATATAAGTATATTTATGTCGGTATGGGATTGGCAGACGTTGTTCTTAATGCATCAACTTTTTTATCTTCAATTTACATTAGCAAAAAAACACCGTTCGATTATTTAAAGAACGAAAATGAAATTAATAGTAAAATGCATTTTCCGGTCTTTAAAACGAATAAACTTTTGTATGAATATTTTCCATACAGACATATCACTAGATCCATCATATAAAGGACGTATAAAAATACGTTGCATACCTGTTGAAAACCTCTTTCTTGATTATAAAAACAATCCATCCTTGTTTTTTAATAAAAATGTGTTTAGTTTATACTCTTTATACATGTATATATCAACTATATATATATATATTAACGCCGATGCCTAGCAGTTCCTGGGTCTTAGTTCATATTCTTTATATGTATCAGCTATACATATTAACGCCGAATAAAAACGTGTTTAGCTTATATTCTTTATATATAGCAACTATATACAGGTATATAGTAACGCCGATGTCTAGCAGTCCCTGGGCCTTAGTTTATATTCTTTATAAATAGCAACTATACAGTGGCCATACTTTCAAAACTGGCTAAGTGAACGTAAGTACTTACGCTCTATTTTATGGTCTATGATTGGTGGATTTGGCTTGAAAGACCGTCAATGATTGGCTGATGAACTTACGATCTCTTAACTTTTTTTGAAAGTATAGGCCCAGGTATATATTAACGCCGATGTCTAGCAGTCCCTGGGTCTCGGTCCATATTCTTTATACAGCAATATAGAGACAGCAATATATATACAGCATAATATATATATTATGTATATAGCAACTATATATATAGTAACGCCGAAGTCTAGCAGTCCCCTGGGCCTCAGTTCATATTCTTTATACAGCAATATAGAGACAGCTATGTATATACAGCATAATATATATATTATGTATATAGCAACTATATATATACATTAACGCCGAATAAAAACGTGTTTAGTTTATATTCTTTATATATATAGCAACTATATACATTAACCCCGAAGAAAAACGTGTTTAGTTTTTATTCTTTATATATAGCAACTATGTACAGGTACCGGTATATAGTAACGCCGATGTCTAGCAGTCCCCCGGTCTCAGTTTATATTCTTTATAAATATATCAACTATATATATTAACGCTGAATAAAAACGTGTTTACTTTATATTCTTTATATATATAGCAACTATGTATATATTAACGCCGATGTCTAGCAGTCCCCTGGGTCTGCGGTCGATGGCGCGACAGCTTCTCTCTGTCGCATGACAAACGAGTTTCGTTTGCTCGTAACGACGATTTTGGCCGCTGTTCTGCCCCTTGTTAACGCGCCACACCAAGCCATACGTGACAATTATGTGGCTATTTACGCGCCTGACTGTTAGGAGCTTAGCCGTACCCATGCCACATGGCGACAGAGCTTGGCTGTACCCATGTCACATGCCCACAGAGCTTGGCAGTACCCATGCCACATGCCACAGAGCTTGGCTGTACCCATGCCACATGCCCACAGAGCTTGGCTGTACCCATGCCACATGCCACAGAGCTTGGCTGTACCCATGCCACGTGCCCACAGCGCTTGGCTGTACCCATGCCACATGCCCAAGCCAGGTTGTTTGATTTTGTGACGCTATTTTCTTATTTTCTTGCTTTATTTCCAAATTCTCTTGTTTCTTCTTTCATTTGTTATTCTTTTTTGCATCTTATTTCTGTTTTATGATTGCATTAAGGTCTCTTCATTATTACAGAGACATTCACTTCTATGTGTCAGCAATTTCCATCTCTACAAGCAACCATTTATTATTATAAATTATTTTGATTTTTGACTGTGTACTCTTGTTACAGTACACTTTATTGTATCCAAAACAATAGTGAAAAGAGATTTAAAGAAGTTGTGTGTGAGCTGCCTTTCGAATTTGTTCGATACTTTCGCAAAATACAATAAAATAATGTTCTCAAATTTTTTTCTCATATCTATTGTAGTATTTGAATATGTTTGAGTGTAATCTATTTGATTTATTATTTGTTTTTGTATTTATGTATTTTAGACAACTTTAGGTTTTTTGGATAAACAGCAAAAAAGGCGCATCAAGATAGGAAAATTGTATAAATTCACCTGCTTAAATAATTTTTAATACATCAATGAATTCTCAGGCTTGTATTTAATTCATAATTCCGTTCAACAAAATTTTTCAGTTAAACTATTTTAATAAAAATTTTGATGTTGTTTTGATGACATCGCATGAGTAGCAGTTCTGACAAAATATTTTTATAATATTTTTTCGCGTAAAGCCCTGAAGGGCTTCCTGGCTATCTAAACTCTTCCGCCTTAATTATGGCTGGTATATGATATATTATCTGTACCATCTACTAAATCTGTGCTATAGGTACTATACCACTAGATACTACTTTATTTAGTACTATATTTATGCTAAATAACGCCACCCTAGTGGCGATATTCGTAGAGTGTTCAAATTCTTTCCATGTGCAATACGTAATCACTGACAATTGAAAAAGGAAAAAATTTCTCAATTAATGAAAAAGTCCGTAATTCTTTCAAAATAATTACTTTTAATCTTCTTAAAGTTATATAGTAAATATTATTACACTAAATATTATTACTAAATAATATTTACTAAATTATTATTAAATATTATTACAGTTATATTTTACAACAGTTTATGTATAATTGAAGGAATATAGCTTCATTTCCCAACATTGCCCTTGCAATTAGACACCAGTGAGTCTCTTAACAGCTCTAAATTGGCCATTATTCTATTATTATTTCTAATATAAATCAGCGACGACTTTTGTCTGGCCGCAGATAACGCGCCTGTAACCGTTCGTTATCTCTGAGTCGCGCAGCATCTCTGACTTGTTTTGCCGTGCGTGGCCATGGCAACGGATGCGTCGACGTTCGTTGTTTTTACGAATAGTTTACGACTTTGTTTATAGCCTCACGCACCGAGCCGGCATTCGTGGCCAGCATGCGCAGCGTTCCAGGAAGCGTGTGGATGTAATGAACGGCTGACCTGAGGGCAACATTTAGTGTGGTGGGTGAGCTGTGGAGGTCACAATTTGATGGATGAACTGAGGGGTAACAATGTGGTGGATGCCCTGTATGGATAACAATGTGGTGGATGAGTTGTAAGGGTAACAATGTGGTGGATGTCCTGTAGGGGTAACAACGTGGTGGATGTCATAAGGGTAACAATGTGGTGGATGCCATGTGGGGTATCAATGTGGAATGCCATGTGGGGTAACAATGTGGTGGATAGCATGTGTGGTTAACAATTAATTTGGTTGATGTCCTGTAGGGGTATCAATGTGGTGGATGAACTGAGGGATAGCAATGTGGTGGATGGCGTGTGGGGATAACAATGTGGTGGATGTCCTGTATGGATAACAATGTTGTGGATGTCCTGTAGGGGTAACAATGTGGTGGATGTTCTGTAGGGGTAACAATGTGGTGGATGTCTCGTAGGGGTAACAATGTGGTGGATGTCCTGTAGGGGTAACAATGTGGTGGATGTCTCGTAGGGGTAACAATGTGGTGGATGTCTCGTAGGGGTAACAATGTGGTGGATGTTCTGTAGGGGTAACAATGTGGTGGATGACGTGTGAGGTCACAATGTGGTGGATGTTCTGTAGGGGTAACAATGTGGTGGATGACGTGTGAGGTTACAATGTGGTGGATGTCCTGTAGGGGTAACAATGTGGTGGATGGCGTGTGAGGTTACAATGTGGTGGATGTCCTGTACGGGTAACAATGTGGTGGATGAACTGAGGGGTAACATTGTGGTTGATGTTGCGTAGGGGCAACGGATGGAATGTGGGTAACAATGTGGTGGATGGAATGTGGGGTAACAATGTGGTGGATGGAATGTGGGGTAACAATGTGGTGGATGGCCTGTGGGTAACAATGTGGTGGATGTCATGCGGGGTACCAATGTGGTGGATGTTCTGTATGGGTAACAATTTGGTGGATGAGCTCCGGGCACTTAATTCGCACTAGATAGCTGGATGGACTAATAAGTTGTGGATAACCTAGAGGCGGTTAATGAATGTCGGATAACTGGCAGAATTGCAGTAATATGGCGTCTGCTTATCAGGGCCAAAATGCCAGTGGCGGACAGTCTAATGGTAACTCGCATTGTTCTAATTCTGGCTGAAAAATCTAACTCTCAAGTAAGCTAGGCTGTACCCATGCCACATACCCACAGATCTTGGCTGTTCCCATGCCACCTACCCACAGATCTTGCCTGTACCCATGCCACATACCCACAGATCTTGCCTGTACCCATGCCACATACCCACAGATCTTGCCTGTATTAATGCCACATACCCACAGATCTTGCCTGTACCCATGCCACATGCATGCCACATGCTTGCCACATGCATGCCACATACATGTATGCAATGATACTCACACTCAAGTTAGTATAATTTGTCTGTTGGTGTGAGCCGCAGGTCGATCTGATACGTAAGGCTGGGTGAGTCAGCGGACTAGGGGCTGTACCATCAAAAATTGTTGCAAACTCGTAACTCCTTCAGCCAATAACTCAAGGTTTTCCAAGCTGAACCCATCAATACCTTACGAGAAATCTGCCGCTACGTGTACTTACGCCGCTACGTGAGCTTTGGCCGCTACGTGTACTTACGCCGCTACGTGTACTTTGGCCGCTACGTGTACTTACGCCGCTACGTGAACTTTGGCCGCTAATTGGCCGCTACGTGTACTTTGGCCGCTACGTTTACTTTGGCCGCTACGTTTACTTTGACCGCTACGTTTACTTTGGCCGCTACGTGTACTTTGGCGCTACATTTACTTAGACCGCTACGTGTACTTAGACCGCTACGTGTTTTTTGGCCGCTACGTGTACTTTGGCCGCCACATGTACTTTAGCAGTTACATGTAAGCTACGTGCACTTACGCTGCCGCGTGTACTTAAGCCACCACGTGTTCTTAAGTAAGTTTCGACAATATGGCCGCTGAGTCAGACTGCTAACGTGATTCAGAATTATGCATTTCAAACGTTAACTGCTGTCGAGGTGTTAGAAGATCACTTCTTAATTGACGTTTTCCTTATTTAGTGGGAAATACCATTAGGTTTGATGATCGTCTAGCACTTATACGTGGTTCGAAACAGAACAAGCTCTTAGTGTTGGGACTCGAACCTGCAATTTAAAGCAATTAAATGAATCATCTTGAAGCTCTGCAAGCTCGCGCACGCTTTTGAAGTGAACATTACCCGCTTTTGCGCCCCATTTTTAACGCATTTTCTCATTTATGGAAAAAAGGCGCTATTGTGCTCGTCATATTCGTCCGTACGTCCGTCCGTCCGTCTGTCCGTGACTTAACGTTTTCGTCCAATTTGAGAAAATGCGCTCTGTCACTTACTGCTGTGAGTACTGAGTTGTATTTTTTCGTAATTTTTCTGCTAAATCATTTCGTTATATGATGAATTTAATCTTTTTTTTTCTGGTTTAAATGTAGTGAAAAACTCTTTTTTCTTCCCATCAAGTTTAAAAGATAGAAACGATGTATTGCAAACATATTATCTTGGGCTTATGAGTTAAACAATGTAACTACGTTTAAAATTAGCATCGTAATTATTGTGTAAAAATATGTGTACGGATGAAAATGATTTAAATATCATTCATTTACACTCCATTTGAAAACCCTGCCAAGTTAATAAAACGTTTTAGAGGAACCTAACGATCAGGTGCTATTGTTTCGTAAAATAGATATAACCGCATTTATAAAATATTCATTTTAAGAATAAGATGATAAATAATATAGCTAAGATTTTTTTCTCGGAATTCACCAATCATTTTTATTAATATTTGGTTTACTTTTACTAGGTATTTTATCAGTAATATAGCTAAGATTTTTTATAGCTAAGTTCACAAATCATTTTTTATTAATATTTGATTTAATTTGATTTTTTGATCAGCTGCAGACCATCTTCTCTTCTATCAACATTTATTAATACTCACTCAAAATATTTTTAAATTCTTAAGTGTTATTTAAATGAAAAATATTTTTCATTTAGGTATTTCGATGCTCGATACATTCTCACTACTACTACTACTACTAATAATAATAATAATAATAATAATAATAATAATAATAATAATAATATTTTCTCGCTCGCTAGTCGCTTTTCAATGCTATGTTTCGGGTACCATTAGAGCGAAGCTATCTGGAAATCGATATTATGTATATGTCTCTCATCATATTAGTCATTCAGATGAACGATAGCTTCGTGATAATCAAGCTTGGTTCGTATAAATTTGTAGCGATTTAAAACATTCTGTTCGAATTCAATCTGGAATTTTATTCTGAAAAAAATGCAATGCTTATATTTATTAAATAATAATCTTCGTATTGACCTACACGTTTAACTCCAGACCGAATTTAAACGTATAGTTTTTTCTGTAATATATTTATTGTGGTTAGTTTTTACTGACCACAATATCGAAACTTGGATTTCAATGCCAGAAGTTCCCATCATTATCTACAAAATTATATCTAACCCATGAATTAAATTGAGAACATTTTACCGGCACTTTGACATGTTCATTTATAATTCAAAGACCCAATAAATATATATACGGCCATGCTGCTCGTCCCGTTTACAATATTCATGTAGATTACGAGTCTCGATCGAGGCGATCAATAATCAAATGATAATGTAAGTCGGCTTAACCTTCGATGATGTACCATCACAAATGATGGTGTGTATAATAATGATAGTGGGTTTGATCTTCGTACCATCAAAAGGCGCTATCACCTGCCGCTGTGCATTGACTCTTCACAGGCGCACGCAAAGGTGACTGGTTTATTGTTGCTCGAAATGATTTGAAGATCTTTAAGAGAAATTAGCTTATTTAAAATAATGGTGGTGTTTTGATGTACATTCTCCTGGCCGAAATAATGGGAGGAAGTTTCATGGACATTCTCTTAACTGAAATAATGGAAAGGTTTTTGATCCATTTTTCCTAACCGAAAAAAAATGGGAAAATTATTGATACATATTCCCCTAACCGAAATAATGGTGGTGTTTTTCATGGACATTCTCCTAGCCGAAATAATGGTGGGGTTTTTCATGGACATTCTCTCAACCGAAATAATGGTGGTGGTTTTTAATGCACATACACCTAACCGAAATAATTGTAAGATTTTTCATGGACATTCTCCTAACCGAAATAATGGAAGGGTTTTTAATCATACATTGACCATAAACGCATATCATACATTGACCATAAACGCATATCGTACAATGACCATAAATGCATATCATACATTGACCATAAACGCACATCGTTCATTGATCATAAACGCATATCATACTATGACCATAAACGCATACCGGTATCGTATATTGACCATAAATACATATCGTATATTGACCATAAATCCATATCGTATATTGACCATAAACGCATATCATACAATGACCATAAATGTATTTCGTATATTGACCATAAACACATATCGTACGATGATCATAAATGCATATCGTATATTGACCATATACACATATCGTACGATGACCATAAATGCATATCGTATATTGACCATAAACACATATCGTACGATGACCATAAATACATATCGTATATTGACCAAATACACATATCGTACGATGACCATAAATACATACCGTATATCGATCATAAACGCATATCGTACAATGACCATAAATGCATGTCGTATATTGACCATAAACACATATCGTACCATGAACATAAACGCATGTCAAACGATGACCATAAAGCCATATCATATGATGACCATAAATGCATATATACGATGATAATTAACGCATATCATACGATGACCATAAACGCATTTCATGCGATGACCATGAATGCATATCATAAAATGACCATAAACGCACATCATACGATGACCATAAACGCATATCATACGATGACCATAAACGCATTTCATGCGATGACCATAAACGCACATCATACGATGATCATAAACGCACATCATACGATGACCATAAACGCATTTCATACGATGACCATGAATGCATATCATAAAATGACCATAAACGCACATCATACGATGACCATAAACGCTGTCTCTTATACACATCTAGATGTGTATAAGAGACAGGATGTACCATCACAAATGATGGTGTATAATAATGATAGTGGGTTTGATCTTCGTACCATCAAAAGGCGCCATCACCTGCCGCTGTGCATTGACTCTTCACAGGCGCACGCAAAGGTGACTGGTTTATTGTTGCTCGAAATGATTTGAAGATCTTTAAGAGAAATTAGCTTATTTAAAATAATGGTGGTGTTTTGATGTACATTCTCCTGGCCGAAATAATGGGAGGAAGTTTCATGGACATTCTCTTAACTGAAATAATGGAAAGGTTTTTGATCCATTTTTCCTAACCGAAAAAAAATGGGAAAATTATTGATACATATTCCCCTAACCGAAATAATGGTGGTGTTTTTCATGGACATTCTCCTAGCCGAAATAATGGTGGGGTTTTTCATGGACATTCTCTCAACCGAAATAATGGTGGTGGTTTTGATGCGCATTCTCCTAATCAAAATAATGGTAAGATTTTTCATGGACATTCTCCTAACCGAAATAATGGAAGGGTTTTTCGTGGACATTCTCCTAACCGAAATAATGGTGGTGTTTTTCATGGAAATTCTCCTAACCGAAATAATGGTAAGGTTTTTGATTGACATTCTCTNCGGTGCACATCGTGTCACCACATCGCGGTGCACATCGTGTCGCCACATCACGGTGCACATCGTGTCACCACATCGCGGTGCACATCGTGTCGCCACATCACGGTGCACATCGCGGTGCACATCGCGGTGCACATCGTGTCACCACATCACAGTGCACATCGTGTCACCACATCGCAGTTTTACTTTGGTTGCTTTAACGCGCTGCACTCTCAGAGAAATTTGTAAGATGTTGTCCAAGTAGCGATACACTTTACCTGACAAAATTTAGATTCGGGCAGGACTCTGCTTTAGGTGCTGCCTTGGACTCGGGAAGCACGTAAATCAGCTGCTCTATGTCCGCTTCAGCTCAGGGTTTAGATGGAAACCTCTGCATGGGCAGCTTGTAAGCTTCGTATGACTCGGCTCGGCCGACCCTTGCCATACTCTCAGGCGACTTTTAAGTCGGAAAGAAGATTCTGACCAGAAACTGATTACGGGCGGATGGCCACGCAGACCCAAAATAGCTTCGCGCCGACTGTAGCGATTATTCAGCCGTAGCCTAGCTATAGGCGGTTTCCAAATATTGTTAGGCTTTTACTCATGTGTGTGTCGTCCTGACTCAGTTAAACACAGCAAAAGGGCATGCTACTTCTGCATGATTGATGCCAATCATTATTTTGAGCGCAGGATTTAGGTAATTTAGAGTTGAAGTGCTTTAGGGAATGAAATTCACCAGGTTAGTTTCCGACATTTTTATATTAAGAGTACGTAATTGAAATTAGTATATCTCGTCAAAACGTCAATTATAAACCATATCTACCTTGTAGCATGAGTTTATTCGTGATAGGTTAATGTCTCGAAAAGTTAAATTTTCAAATGTTAAGATGAAACGCATCTGCAAAAAATATTGATCTTCAACGTTTTAAGCGCACTTAATAAAAAGTACTAAATAGGCTTATTTTCATGTCATGTAAATACACCATAAATTTTGGCATTGCAATATCGAATTTAACCAAATTTTCCTCATTTATGAAAATAGATGTTTTATTTTTCGAAAATTCAAAACTTCTGACTAATTTCACTGCTAGAGTGAATGACCTAAAATATTGATAAATTCGCTTTAAGAAAACTATACTGGAATAATTGATCAATGAAAATTTCCTAAATTCAGACAGATGTACGGCTTTCATGAAGAATATGCTTTGCACATAACAGAACCGTAATATTTTTGTACTAAAACCCCGTTTTCTTGTGAAAATTTACAGTTATATGTATTTTCTTTCTTCTATTTTTTTAATCGTATATTCACTTGTTTTATACGTAAGGCTTAATTAATATATCCAATATTATATATTATATTATATATCACAATAATGTATTCTTCGATGAGAATTTGATTTAGAAATTTTTAGACTGTGTCTTCAACTTTTTATTTGCAGTTCAAACTCTCCACGAGAAGCCTAGCTTCAATGTCTTATGGAACAAAAGTCTAGCTAAACAAAGTAAATTATTCTCCTATAGTGAGACTCGACTACTTTAATCTTACGTGACCATATACTTTAAATTAATTTAAATTATTCTCCTATAGCGAACCTCGAGGATTCCATTTCTCGATGAAATACATTCTCACTTATGGCTTGAACCAACGGCCTTATTCATCTGGGGAAGTAGCATTAAAACTCGCTTAGAGCGCGTAGCGGCCCAAGTACACGTGGCGGCCTAAGTACACGTCACGTAGCGGCCTAAAGTACACGTATCGGCTTAAGTACACGCAGCGGCCTAAGTACACATTGCGGTTCAAGTAGATATTCTGTGATCGGTGGGTTTCGCTTGAAAAGCAGTCAGTGGCTGGCTGACGGAGTCACAATCTCTAAGTTACTTTTAATAATATAACCCCTGAAAACCTTCAGCTAAATATCAACCCTCCTCGTGCAGGCGGCGCTGAAGGCTTCATCGCCCTAGACAGCCACTATCACGTCGACCTCATCGAGGCCCTGCAGCTCTGGAATACAACCTACCGCGGCCTCACCGTCATCTCTGGGCCCAGGCCCTTCGCTCCTGCCATCTTCTTGCAAGGTAAGGAAGCCACACTCAAAGAAATGAGTGAGACTTTGTCCAAATATTTATATACTTTTTGCCCCTAAGTGTCTCATTCTGAACAAGTTTGATCCGGCGAGGAGGCCACACTCATAGAAATGAGTGAGACTTTGTCAAAATATTGATGTAGTTTTTGCCCCTAAGTGGGTCATTATGAAAGAGTTTGTTCCGGCGAGGAGGCCACACTCATAGAAATGAGTGAGAATTTGTCCAAATATTGATGTATTTTTTGCCTCCATGTGGGTCATTATGAAAGAGTTTGTTCCGGCGAGGAGGCCACACCCATAGAAATGAGTACGAATTTGTCCATATATTGTTGTATTTTTTTGCCCCCTTGATTCTGTACGTAACACTGATACGTCCTTTTCGCGGAACCAAACTCATTAATAATGAATGACACGCTAAAGTGTGTCATTCATTATTAATGAGTTTGATTAATGAGTTTGATTCATTATTTGATTAGTTTGAAACTCATTAATAGTGAATGACACACTTAAGTGTGTCATTCATTATGAACGAGTTTGATCCGGCGAAAAGGTCAAGGTCGTATCACTGTTACGTTCACAATGCATATCATTTTTGGACAGAATGAACCATTTATTTTCTTAATGTATTTATTTATTATAATGTTCTATTTTGCGTTTCACTCAAAGAATTGAGTGAGAATTTGTTCCAATAGCTATGCACTTTTATCCACTGGGTTGGGCCATCCTGACCCAGTTTAATTAGCAGGCTAAATTATAAGGGCGTATCACTGACGGTAAGATCTATGTTCGTGCTGTGAATAAGAGTGTCACCTTTTTGGGGTTTTAATAAGGGGGTTTTAGTAGTTACCCCCCTCATCTGCCACGCCCTCTCAAAAATTACCAATCAGTGCCTATACTTTCAAAAAAGTTAAGAGATCGTAAGTTCATCAGCCAATCATTGACGGCCTTTCAAGCAAAATCCACCAATCATAGACAAGAAAATAGAGCGTAAGTACTTACGTTCACTTAGCGAGCTATGAAAGTATTGCCCCTGCAACGCAAATAATACCTTATTGTAATATTGTATATACCTCATTATTACTATTGTATACCTTAATATTGTAATAATATTAATATTGTAATATTGCCTTTTTTATTGTGATTTCGCCTTATTGCATAGCCCTCTTTCTCTTCATCTACCACCTCTTCCTCTCCATCCACCACCTCTTTCTCTTCATCCACCACCTCTTTCTCTTCATCCACCACCTCTTCCTCTCCATCTACCACCTCTTCCTCTTCATCCACCACCTCTTTCTCTTCATCTACTACCTCTTCTTCTTCATCCACACTTCATCCACCACCTCTTCCTCTTCATCTGCCACCTCTTCCTCTTCATCCACCACCTCTTCCTCTTCATCCACCACCTCTTCCTCTACCACCTCTTCCTCTTCATCCACCACCTCTTTCTCTTCATCTACCACCTCTTCCTCTTCTTCCACCACCTCTTCCTCTTCATCCACCACCTCTTCCTCTTCATCCACCACCTCTTTCTCTTCATCCACCACCTCTTCCTCTTCATCCACCACCTCTTTCTCTTCATCCACCACCTCTTCATCCACCACCTCTTCCTCTTCATCCACCACAGGTGAAGAACGTCTGCTACAGCTGCCAGACGCAGTGCGCGCTTCCACCTCCTCCATCCTAGCCACCTCCAAAGAGTTCACCGTCATGGCCACCATCCAGCAGGAGGAGCGCAACGCTGGAACTATTTTATCTTTTTCTAAAGGCCTACAGCGACTTTTTGAACTGCAGTCTTCGGGCAGGAAAGACGAGCTTCGTCTGCATTATGTTCATAACGGCATGATCCATGTCGAGCTCTTCCCATACCGCCTCGCCGACCGACGATGGCACAAGGTGGGACAAGAATTCAGTTTGTGTCATAATTATTGTTTTTAGTTTTTAGTATTTAGTAGTTTTTAGTAGTAGTTTTAGTATTTATAAGAGCAGGCTGTGTCACAATCATTGTTTTTAATTTCTTATGGTTTATGTGAGCAGTTTGTGTTATAAGAGGTGTTTATATGAGCAGTTTGTGTTACATGAGAGGTTTAAATGAGCAGTTTGTGTCACAATCATTATTTTTAGTTTATTATGGTTTATAAGAGCAGTTTGTGTTATAAGAGAGGTTTATAGGAGCAGTTTGTGTTATAAGAGAGGTTTATAAGAGCAGTTTGTGTTATAAGAGAGGTTTATAAGAGCAGTTTGTGTTATAAGAGAGGTTTATAAGAGCAGTTTGTGCTATAAGAGAGGTTTATAATAGCAGTTTGTGTTATAAAAGTGGTTTAAATGAGTAGTTTGTGTCGCAATTATTGTTTTTTTTTTTGTTTATTATGGTTTATAAGAGCCGTTTGTGTAACAATCATTGTTTTTATATAGTTTATTATGGTTTATAAGAGCAGTTTGTGTCACAATCGTTGTTTTCAGTTTATTATGGTTTATGAGAGCAGTTTGTCACAATCATTGTTTTTATAATCTATTTAAGTTTATAAGAGCAATTCGTGTCACAATCATTGCTTTTTAATTTGTCATGGTTTATGAGAGCAGTTTGTGTCACAATCATTGTTTTCTGTTTATTGTGGTTTATAACAGCAGTTTGTGTCACAATCATTGTTTTTATATAGTTTATTATGGTTTATAAGAGCAGTTTGTGTCACAATGGTAGTTTTTATATAGTTTATAATGGTTTATGAGAGCATATTGTCACAATCATTGTTTTTATAATTTATTTAAGTTTATAAGAGCAATTCGTGTCACAATCATTGCTTTTTAGTTTGTTATGGTTTATAAGAGCAGTTTGTGTCACAATCAATGTTTTTGGTTTATTATGGTTTATAAGAGCAGATTGTGTCACAATCATTGTTTTTGGTTTATAAGAGCAGATTGTGTCACAATCATTGTTTTTTGCGTTTGTTTTTGTTTATATGAGCACTTGTGTCATAATCATTGACTTTAGTTTATTATGGTTTATGAGAGACAAAAATTTTCATTTGTGCCGCAATCGGTTTGTTTGCGTTTTACAGCGCTATATGCAAGCCAACTACTTTCATCTTGTGTCACAGTCGTTTTTTTAACGTGTTTATAACTTTGCATATGGCCCTACAAGCTTTACACATTGTATAATTCGTGTAGCAAACTTTTTGTTTCCTTTTAGAACGTTATATAAAAGCAACCAACAATTTTTATTAATGATCTAGTGACTTAAAAATCCTTTGATTATAAGCTATTGGACCCTGTCTCAACATTTCGCTTGCGTTTCAAACTCCACACGTGAGCACTTCAATGTTACAATGATCGCGAACTCTAGCCAATCAAAGTCAATTCAACTCCTTTATTAAATTAGAAACTTTTATAAAACTAATTATGTCTTTCCTGTGATATTTTTATTCACTTTAAAATAAAATAAAAACTTTTCTGTACGTTCAGAAATGAAAATATTGCAATTTATTTACGATTTATTTATTTTATTTATTTTACTTATTTATTTATTTATTTTACTTACAATGTCATCGTAATGCAATATTTAATATGATGAAAATACAAAAGTTCATATTTTATGCAATATTGGAATGCATATTTTAATTCTATCTCTAATAAACTTGCATTACAATCGAAAATTTTTAATTTGAATTTTTTTGTAAAGATTGTCACCAAATAATCAGCAACTAACACGCTATTGTGAAAATAGATCCTATGGAAGTCAAAGTTTACCTCTCCCACGCTGAAATAATCACTCATCAGGCATCTAATATGATAATAATGTTGATTGAGCATTGTTCCAATTAAATCAGCTCGCAATCAACATTTTTTTTCGACGTTATTTATTTTTATTTTATTATTTTTTCTATTATTCCAGCCTTATTGAAATTCTCTCCGACGTTATTTATGTTTGTTTTGTTTTTTTTCTATTATTCCAGCATTATTAATTTTCTCTTCGACGTTATTTATTTTTGTTTTATTATTTTTTTCTATTATTCCAGCATTATTAAAATTTTAAAGTTGATGTTCACAAAGACTTTGTCTGTAGGTGTCGGTGGTTGTTGATTGAACTTTGTTCCAACTAAATCAGCTCGCAATCAACACTTTTTCACATTATTTATTTTTGTTTTATTATTTTTTCTATTATTCCAGCAATATCAAAATTCTCGAGTTCGCGTTCACCAACACCTTGCCTGTAGGTGTCGGTGGTGGTGTCGGGGGGACAGCTCGAGGTGTGGGTGGACTGTCGTCGGGTGTTCCGTCGTCTCGTGCCGCCCCCCATGACAGATTTCTCTGTCTTGGACCACACCAAAGCGCCCCTAGAACCCCTTATCTCTCCTGACGAAGAACTAGCTGACTCATCAGACGCAGAGTCAGCAGTTCTGAGAAGTTTTAAAGCTGCTGACATCAGCGCTGATGTTAAGACCACAGCCCGGCCGGGTATCCCTTTGGGGGATTATGGAGACGAGCCCATTGTGCTGTACCTCGGCCAGAGGAACTCTAAACATTTCCTTTTCAAGGTAAGCTTAATAAAAACTGCATGCGCATTATTTTTAATCAGAATAGTAAGAGTACAAGTTAATTTACCAATTATTAATCAGAATAGTAGAAACATAAGTCAATTTTTCTAATTATTAATCAGAATAGTAAGAGTACAAGTTAATTTACCAATTATTAATCAGAATAGTGAAATTACAAGTCAATTTACCAATTATTAATCAGAATAGTGAAATTACAAGTCAATTTACCAATTATTAATCAGAATAGTAGGAAGAAATGTCAATTTTGCCTATTATTATTCAGACTAGTAGAAGGACGAGTCAATTTTGCCAATTATTAATCAGAATAGTAGGAGGACATATAAATTTTTCCGATAAATAATCAAAATAGTAGGAAGACAAATTAAATTTACCAATTATTAACCATAATACTGAAAATACAAGCCAATTTTACCCTGCAACCTGTCTTCAAACTAACCTATTTTCTTTAAGAGCTGAAAACACTTCATCGCTCTTATTTTTCATCGTTATAATTACTTCACGGAATTGTTACGAATTATCCACATCATCTATTGTATGTTCTAGTACACGTGTGAAGCGTGTTCTCCAATATATGAATAATAAATATTATGATCGCAATTTTCTTCCATTGCAATTTACACAGCAATCGACTGTGAGTTTCCCAATACGAAGCTACGCCGGTAAAAGGTTTAGTTCTTTACTCTCTTGAATTTCTACAGGTTAATTACGTTCGAATTTATGGCGTGCGCTGAAGATATATTTAATTGTATATAATTGGTTTATATCAATATATGCATGAACTAATCATGCATCTTAAACATATAAAGTTATACCTGTCTCTTATACACATCTAGATGTGTATAAGAGACAGGACATAAGCTCTGTGTTTTGACATAAGCTCTGTGTGTTGACATAAGCTCTGTGTGTTGACATAAGCTCTGTGAGTTGCCATAAGCTCTGTATGTTGACATAAGCCCTGTGGTCGTTGCAATTTATTTGAATGGGTGCAAATGGCAAGGTGTTAACGTGATAACTGCCATGCAGGTTCTGATCGTTCGCAAATGGTCGGGTGTTGTTAAAGCTTCATACGAAATTCATGACCATTTAGTGCCGCTATGAAAGCGATCTCTTGGTGAAGCATTCATGAAGTGTATGAACTCTGAATGATATTGAATGAGACTCTACACGTTGCTTACATTCAATTTTCTTAGCTTTTTATATCCATTTGAATATATCATGTATTAGTTGAATAATTGATAAATCCAGTTCAATTCATCATGTATCCATTTGAATACATCATATATCTATTTGAATACATCATATATCTATTTGAATACATCATATATCCTTTTGAATACATCATATATTCATTTAAATATATCATATATCCATTTGGATACATCATATGTCCATTTGAATACATCATATATCCATTTGAATATATAATATATCCATTTGAATACATCATATATCCATTTGAATACATCATATATTCATTTGAATATATCATATATCTATTTGAATATATAATATATCCATTATAATTCATGTTATATCTAGTTGAATACATGCAAATAATAAGCCCGGCCATTTAAGTACAAAATTTTAATTCCCGCAACAATCTGACAATTTCTAATGATACTTAGGCAATTTCTGATGATAGTTAGTCAATTTTTCTAATGGTTTATCTGGCAATTTCTAATGATAGTTGGGCAATTTTTCTAATGGTTGACCTGGCAATTTCTGATGATACTTAGGCAATTTCTAATGATAGTTGGGCAATTTCTGATGATAGTTAGGCAATTTCTAATGATAGTTAGACAATTTCTAATGATAGTTAGACAATTTCTAATGATAGTTAGACAATTTTTCAAATAGTTGACCTGGCAATTTCTAATTATAGTTAGGCAATTTCTAATGATAGTTGGGCTATTTTTCAAATGGTTGACCTGGCAATTTCTGATGATAGTTAGACAATTTTTCTAATGGTTGACCTGGCAATTTCAAATGATACTTAGACAATTTTTTTAATGGTTGACCTGGCAATTGCTAATGATTGTTAGACAATTTTTCCAATGGTTGAGTTTGCAATTCCTAATGATAGTTAGACAATTTTTCTAATGGTTGACCTGGCAATTTCAAATGATACTTAGTCAATTTTTCTAATGGTTGACCTTACAATCCCTAAAGATATCTTGACGTATCATCTTATCCCTGTCTCTTATACACATCTAGATGTGTATAAGAGACAGGTNTAAATAAATAATTGATAATTATTATTGAAATCCTCAGAAAATTCCCAAATCCTCCTAAATTATCGTGTGGCAGAAGCATGCGGGCCCTCTTCGCCGCCCTCGCTAACAGGGTCAGATATGTAGTTAATATATTATTAATTAGTGTTTAAATAAAAAATAATTACTATAGAAATCTTGTAGTGGAAGAGCACGGGCCCTCGCTAACAGGGTCAGATATGTTCCTTATAGATTAATGATTGATGTGTAAATAAATAATTAATGTGTAAATAAATGTTTAATTAATAATTATTATAGAAATCCTCATTAGAAATGCTCGCTGCTACACAAGCACTCGTCGCCGCCCTCGCGAACAGGGTTAAATATGTTCTTAATATATTATTAATTAGTGTTTAAATAAGTAATAATTACTACAGAAATTCTTGTTGTGGAAGCGCACGGGCCTTCGCAAACAGGGTGTGCAGTGTCATTAATATATAATTATTAATTAATATGTGTCATTAATGTGTGAGAGTCATTACGTTTAATTTATCCTGTAATTATTATTAATTTATCCTGTAATTATTATTAATTTATCGTGTAATTATGTTTAATTCATGCTGTAATTATGAATAATTCAACGTGTAATTATATGACTGTAATTATGATTAATTCATCCGATAATTATGATTAATTCATCCGATAATTATGATTAATTCATCCTGTAATTATGATTAATTCATCATGTAATTATGATCAATTCATCATGTAATTATGATCAATTCATCCTGTAATTATGATCAATTCATCCTGTAATTATGATCAATTCATCCTTTAATTATGATCAATTCATCCTTTAATTATGATTAATTCATCCTGTAATTATGAATAATTCATCCTGTAATTATGATTAATTCATCCTGAAATTATGTTTAATTCATCCTGTAATTATGAATAATTCATCCTGTAATTATGATTAATTCATCCTGTAATTATGATTAATTCATCCTGTAATTATGATCAATTCATCCTGTAATTATGATTAATTAATCCTGTAATTATTATAAATTATGTTATTAATTTATTATTATATTAATTATGTGTTATATTAATATTGTTATGATGTTATTATAATTAATTATGATTATGATTAATTAATTATTAATTCATCATGTTAATTAAAATTAATTTATCTTGTAATTATGATTAATTCATCCTTTAATTATAATTAATTAATCGTGTAATCACCTGCTGCAGGTGTCAGAGTCCGAGGCGCGTCTCGCTGCCGTGGAGTCGTGCGACTGCCAGAAGTCGTGCCGTGTCAACGATACCGTGCGCCCCGACGGCGCCTCCTGGAAAACTGGCTGCGAGATGTGCTCGTGTGTCGTGAGTGTCGTGTGTCGTGTGTCGTGAGTGTCGTGTGTCGTGAGTGTCGTGTGTCGTGAGTGTCGTGAGTGTCGTGAGTGTCGCTGTCTCTTATACACATCTAGATGTGTATAAGAGACAGAGTGTCGTGTGTGTCGTGAGTCGTGAGTGTCGTGTGTCGTGAGTGTCGTGTGTCGTGAATTTTGAACGTCTCGAGTATCGTTCGGCATGAACGTCGTATTCTATTCATCTAATAATGTCATTAAATCCAGCTAATATCTGTTTTCTTGTCATTATTTTTACAAAATACTAATATATACTAATAATACTAATAGATAATTACTACAAAATACTAATATATTATTACTACTGCATTATTTTTTATGAACTAAATAGACTTTCAATAATGTCATTTAATCCACCTAATATGTATTTTCTTGCCAATATTTTTAGAAAATAATAATAGTTAATTATTATTGCCTTATTTCTATAAAATACTAATAAATATACTACTAATACTAACAGATAATTTTCATAAAATACTAATATATTATTATTTTTACATTATTTTTAATAATCTAAAACTAATTTAATGGCGTGCAGCACGGCGAGGTGCTGTGCAGGCCGCTGCCCTGTCCTGCGGTGACCTGCAGGAACCCTGTCTACACCTCCGGCCAGTGCTGTCCTGTCTGCCTCAGTCAGTCCTGCCGCATATGTCCTTATTCCTCATCATCCCTCATCATACCCCCTCATCCTGCCTCATCCCTCATCCCGCCTCAGTCCTTATCATATTCCTTCATCCTGCCTCATTCCTCATCATATGCCCTCATCATATGCCCTCATCATATGCCCTCATCATATGCCCTCATCATATGCCCTCATCCCTCATCATATGCCCTCATCATATGCCCTCATCCCTCATCATATGCCCTCATCCCTCATCATATGCCCTCATCCCTCATCATATGCCCTCATCCCTCATCATATGCCCTCATCCCTCATCATATGCCCTCATCCCTCATCATATGCCCTCATCCCTCATCATATGCCCTCATCCCTCATCATATGCCCTCATCCCTCATCATATGCCCTCATCCCTCATCATATGCCCTCATCCCTCATCATATGCCCTCATCCCTCATCATATGCCCTCATCCCTCATCATATGCCCTCATCCCTNAATGTCTAGAGTATTGTTCGGTATGAACGTCGAATTCTATTCTTCTAATAATTTTATTCAATCCACTTATTATGTCTTTTCTTGCCATTATTTTTACAAAATACTAATATATACTACTAATACTAATAGATAATTACTATAAAATACTAATATATAATTATTATTGCATTATTTTTTATTGAACTAAATATAATCTTTTAATAATGTCATTTAATCCACCTAATATGTATTTTCTTGCCGTTATTTTTACCAAACTACTAATACTAATAGATAATTTTTGTAAAATACTAATTTATAATTATTTATACATTATTTTAATAATCTAAAAATAATTGTATGGCGTGCAGCACTTACAGATACTAATATACACTTGCAATACTAATATATACTACTAATACTAATAGATAATTTCTATAAAATAATAATATATAATTATTATTGCATTATTTCCATAATTTAAAAGTAATTATACGGCGCGTAGCACTTACAGAATACTAATATATACTACTAATACTAATAGATAATTACTAAAAATACTAATATATACTACTAATACTAATAGATAATTACTATAAAATACTAATATATACTACTAATGCTAATAGATTATCACTATAAAATACTAATATATAATTAATATTAAATTATTTCTATAATCTAAAAGTAATTATACGGCGTGCAGCACGGCGAGGTGCTGTGCAGGCCGCTGCCCTGTCCTGCGGTGTCCTGCAGGAACCCTGTCTACACCTCCGGCCAGTGCTGTCCTGTCTGCCTCAGTCAGTCCTGCCGCATATGTCCTTATTCCTCATCATCCCTCATCATACCCCCTCATCCTGCCTCATTCCTCATCATATTCCCTCATCCTACCTCATCCCTCATCACAAACCCTCATCAAATTCCTTCATCCCGCCTCATACCTCGTAATATTCACTACCTCTTCACAGCTTAGTTTACATAATAATTAACTTAACAACTTGAATTGCACGTTTTTCTTTTTTCTCTTTTGTGATTTAAACTCTTAATACCTACCAATATTATAGTTCAAATTTTTGACAATGCCCGTTATGTTCTGGTGTGTTTGGAAGTCCAAGATGAAAAGAACCCGTGTAAAAAATAAGCTAACGTGAATTACTAAGTTATAGATAAATAATCGTGCAAAAGTTATCAATTATTAAATGATATCAACGTCCAAAAAATGGTTTAAGAATTTGTACATATATGATTTATTCTATCAGAACAATGCTCNATACCGCCTTATCCCTCGCAAAATTTACTGCCTATTTAAATCCTAGTTCACCTTATAATTAACTTAACAACTTGAATTGCACGTTTTTCTTTTTTTCTTTTGTGATTTAAAGTCTTAATACCTATCAATATTATAGTTCAAATTTTTGACAATGCGCGTTGTGTTACTGGTGTGGTTGAAAATCCAAGATAAAGAGAACCCGTGTTGAAAATAAACTAACGTGAATTACTAATTTATACATAAATAATCGCGCTAACGATATCAATTATTATTTGAAATCAACGTCCAAAAAATGGTTTAAGAATTTGTACATATATGATTTATTCTATCAGAACAATGCTCGCTGAAAGGCGAGGTATACGAGCACGGAGATACCGTGTCGCCACGACAGTGCGTGGACTGCGAGTGTCGTGATGGTGCCATGCAGTGCCGCCGTGTGGACCCCGACACGTCGTGTCCAGAACTGTCATGTCCGCCAGACCAGCAGTTCTCAGAACCTGGCGAGTGCTGCAAGTTCTGTCCAGGAGTTGACTACTGCGCGGCTGGCAACACGTGTCATGTCAACGCGACGTGTGTCAACCTCCAGACATCGTACACGTGTCACTGTAAACGTGGCTTCCAGGGCGATGGACGCAACTGTACCGGTAGGTGAACTTCGTACGTCTGGCTCATGCTTAGCATCAAGTGTCTAATGTTGTCATACGTCATGAACAATTCGTCCTGATGTCTGTCCGTACAAACGGACGGACCTAACAGTACCGGTAGGTGAACTTCGTACGTCTGGCGCATGCTTAGCATCAAGGCTCGAACGTTGTCATACATCATTAAAATTCTTCCTGATGTCTGTCCGTACAAACGGACGGACGTAACTATACCGGAAGGTGAACTTTGTACGTCTGGCTTAGTCTTAGCATCAAGTGTCTAATGTTGTCATACATCAGTATATTCGTTTAATGTCTGACCGTACAATTTGGACAAACGGACGGACGAAACTGTACCGGTAGGTGAACTTCGTACGTCTGGCTCATGCTTAACATTAGAGGTCAATAGTTGTCATACATCGTTAAAATTCTTCCTGGTCGATGTCTGTCCATAAAATTTGTACAAACGGACAGACGCAACTGTACCGGTAGGTGAACTTCGTACGTCTGTCTCATGCTTAACATGAGAGGTCTAAGGTTGTCATACATAAATAAAATTCTTCCTGATCGATGTCTGTCCATAAAATTTGTACAAACGGACGGACGTAAATTCCGGTAGGTGAACTTCGTACGTCTGTCGCATGCTTAACATCCGCGCTCAAATGTTATCATACATCAGAAAAATTCGTCCTGGGGCCGGATTATCAAAACTTCGTAACTTTTTGTACTTACGACAAAAAAATTCTGTGGTACGTAAATGCACCTTAATTTTGGCATTATCAAAACTTTCGTACGCAAGTCTTAGCTAAAAGCCTGAATTTTTTCCCCGTGCAAATTTTTCCTGCGCAAATGTTCTTATAATATCACCGTTAGTATTACGTTGTCATAGCAACGCCACTCGTAAGTCGATTTTGCGTACTTACGAAGTTTTGATAATACGGCCCCTGATGTCTGTCCGTAAAATTTGTACAAACGGACGGACGTAACTGTACCAGTAGGTGAACTTCGTACGTCTGTCTCATGCTCAAGATCAGGGCTCTAATGTTGTCATACATCCGTAAATTCGTCCTGATGTCCGTCCGTAAAATTTGTACAAACAGACGGACGCAACTGTAACGGTAGGTGAACGTCGTACGTCTGTCTCATGCCTAACATCAGGGGTCTAATGTTGTCATACATCATTTAAATTCGTCCTGATGTCTGTCCGTAAAATTTGTACAAACGGACGGACGCAACTTTACCGGTAGGTGAACTTCGTACGTCTGTCTTATGCTTAACATCAGGGGTCTATTGTTGTCATACATCCGTAAATTCGTCCTGATGTCTGTCCGTAAAATTTGTAAAATCGGACGGACGCAGCTGTGCCGGTAGGTGAACTTCGTACGTCTGGCTCATGCTTAACATCAGGGGTCTAATGTTGTCATATATCCGTAAATTCGTCCTGATGTCTGTTCGTAAAATTTGTACAAACGGACGGACGTAACTGTACTGGAAGGTTAACTTTGTACGTCTGTCTCATGCTTAAGATCAGGGGTCTAATGTTGTCATACATCCGTAAATTCGTCCACATCTCTGTACGTAAAATTTGTACAAACGGACGGACGCAACTGTACCGGTAGGTGAACTTCGTACGTCTGTCTTATGCTTAACATCAGGGGTCTAATGTTGTCATACATCCGTAAAAATTTTACAAGCAGACGGACGTAACTGTACCGTTGAGTGAACTTCGTACGTCTGTCTCATGCGTAACATCAGTAGTCTAATGTTGTCATACATCATTAAAATTCGTCCTGATGTCTGTCCGTACAAATGGACGGACGCAACTGTACTGGTAGGTGAACTTCGTACGTCTGGCTGATGCCTAACATCAAGGCGCAAATGTTGTCATACATCAGTAAATCTGTCCTCATGTATGTCCGTAAAATCTGTACATACGGACGGACGCAACTGTACCGGTAGGTGAACTTCGTACGTCTGTCTAATGCTTAGCATCAAGGCTCGAATGTTGTCATACATCCGTAAAATTCATCCACATATCTGTGCGTAAAATTTGTACAAACGTAATATTTTCATCAAAGCTGCCATTCACTGGTGAAGTAATATGCATAAATTATTGTATTTTAGTGGCTTAAATTTTCTGCATCAGCTGTATCAGCATCAGCTGTATCAGCATCAGCTGTATCAGCATACCCCCTCTACTTTCACCCTCACTTACATTCATAAAAGACATTATAATAATAATAATAGCGGTTTCAGCTTTTAGTAGGCCGTAGGCCTGTCGCCGATTCTCAACATTGCAGAACATTCACAGCATGTTGCGGTCTCGAACTCGCAAATCACTGTTACAATTCTGCAGTGCTTAACCGCCCGGCCTCCTCGCCGATTCTGACCAGAAACTGGCGCACAGAGCTGGGATCGAACCCGCGCCTCTCTGCGCCAATCTTGGTACTCTGAACTTTAACCACTGGGCCAAACTGCCCATTATTCAATCTCATCATTTCAACTTTCGCTAGCTAACATTCCCTGATGTATTGATGAAGACGTCACCTCATTGTACTGACCAGGATGAATGTATCATCACTGTATTCATCACTGTACTCATCATTGTACTCATCACAGTACTCATCACTGTACTCATCACTGTACTCATCATTGTACTCATCACTGTACTCATCACTGTACTCATCATTCTACTCATCACTGTACTCATCACTGTATTCATCATTGTATTCATCATTGTATTCATCATTCCCGCAGACACTGTACTCATCATTCTACTCATCACTGTACTCATCACTGTATTCATCATTGTATTCATCATTGTATTCATCATTCCCGCAGACATTGATGAGTGTGACGCTGCCAGCGAGCAGGACGGTCATTACTGCCAGCAACACGCAACCTGCCTCAACACTCCTGGCAGCTACAAGGTAATTCCTTACCGTCCTGGCAGCGACTGCCCGTTGTCTCAGACAAAAAAGAATGTACAAGTGAATTTAAAAGGCAACAAAATAAAGCAAATTCAGCCTAATGTTTTCGAAACCCGCTCCATTATTAGTTAAAAATTCGAAGAATTGTAAATTGATGAAAAATGTCAAGCGGATAATTACTACAAGCGCTGTTGACGCGAGGTTTTTGTTTGAAAATAATCAGCTATCCCGAAAATCTTAAATTTTTGGCAGTGGAGATGGTTAAATGGTTAAAGACCCTAATCGAGAGTGCCGTGATAGATCATAAAAATTATTTCGGATGGTTAAAGATCCTAGAATCGCCCTCAGTCTCAGGAACGTTGCACCGTTCAGTGTGAAGGCGCACAGCAGAATGAGGAGGGTGAGCAAGCAGATCTCTAGAACGATAACTCCTTCCGCTGTGTTCAGCAATTCTCAAGTAGAAGTGACCCGACGTAATTCCGAGTTCGGTTTCAACCGCTTCCATGAAAATTTTGTTCTTCCTGTTGATTACATTTCTATTTATGAAATTTTTATTGATGATAGAGCGGTCTCCAAAACGTTATAATTGAAACTGAGGTTAATTTGCTCAATATTTTATTTAGTTTAAAATTCTTGATTAGTTTTGAATTTTAGCAAACTATTAATACAAATAATATATATTAATGCCCATCCTGCAGCTTTGATTCATAGTAGCTAAAAGTTTATCAATGTCACGCCGGGTAACACGAAAATGTTTAATAATATATAATCCTTGCCTATCAAAGGGGTAACTACTTTATACTCCACGCAGTGTTACCTAATCCTTAGTCTTACTCAGGTAACTGTACACCGTCTCACAGTATTATTTATACTGATTAAATTCACTGAGAATTAAAAATTTATATTAAAAAATGTTTGATATTTTTTAAAAATTTCATTCATAATCAATTAATATGAATTAAAATGCATTGCCTAATTAATTTCCTCGTAAATATTATCTTTAATGAGTTAGCCCCTCTTTAATTTGTTTATAACGATAATAATCAGCAATATAATATAATTTTCTTGTGAAAATATATATTTTTAACCAATATCCTCAGTACACTCAGTGCTTATTTTACGTGACTACGGGTCATCCTGACTTAGTTTAGCCCGGAAAAATATCCTATCAGTTCTACTTGCACAGAAAGTGTCACCATTTTACATTGTGACCCATTCAAATTTGTAATATCTCCCTGAGATTTTGTGAAATTTTTGTGAAATTTGTGCAATGTCCTACAATGTGACGCATTGAAATTTTAACATCTCCCTGAGATTTTATGAAATTTGTAAAATCCCCTACAATGTGACCCATTGAAATTTGCTAGTGATAAATTTGTGAGAGGTATCTCTGTTGCCAGTGTGTAGATGTGTAGCATCGGAGACACTGTATTTTTTAGAATTCTTCTCTTTAAAAGATAATTTTTAAACGCATATGATTTACAATGTGACCCAATCAAATTTGTGATATCTCTGTTACCAGTGTGAGTGTGAAGTGGGTTACGTGCGTCAGGATGTGATTCATGTGACCCAGGATGTGACCCAATGTGACCCAATAAAATTTGTGATATCTCCCTTACCAGTGTGAGTGTGAGGAAAGTGCGTCAGGATGTGACCCATGTGACCCAGGATGTGACCCAATGTGACCCAGGATGTGACCCAATGTGACCCAATAAAATTTTTGAGTGAAATCACCCTTATCAGTGTGAGTAAAACACTTCATTTACTGCGGGTTACACTCCACATTCTGTAGTAGTAAAGTTTCTTTTAATGTTTTGGTAGACAATAATTTTAACAACTTTTACAAAATATTAATTACGTGCTAAATACTTTTGGTTATATGAATTATATCCTCTCTGTATGACAGCTAAACAATAGTGATATCAATAATAGTTAAAAGTGATGTCAATAATGTCAATGTCAGTGATGTCAATAATAGTTAAAAGTGATGTCAATAATAATGAAAAGTTTCTAACTCATTAGCCAATCACTGAAGGCTTTTAAAGCTAAACCCACCAATCACCGACGAGAAATTAGCCCCTACGTTTACATTGAGTTTTGAAAGCAAGTAGTATTTCATTGTACTGAAGTACCTATTTTATTGATTATATTTTATTATTATATTTTTATAATAATTCTATAAATTTTTTTTTTTTATTATTTTTAATTATATATTTAAATTTTATTATATTTTTATATTTATTTATTTTATTTTATTATATTTTTATTATTATTTTATTTATCGGAGTATTTTATTGTACTGAACTATCACAACAATAACATTTAACCACATATCAACTGACTCAAAGTCCAATGAGGGACGCCATCTTCAATTTTTTGCAGCAGTTTTGTAAAAGTATTGTATTGTAAAATCGTATAGAATGTGACAGCTACAGTGCAGAGAAATAAGTTGTAAATCATTTTAAAATATTAGAAAGAACTGAGTTCTCTACAAGTAGATGATTAGATTATCATGGATTATCATGAGCAATATTTTGAATGGAATATTTAAGCAGCTTGTCAAATGGTAAAAGGAGGCTGCTATGTCTCAAGTCTTAAAAATTTAGCCATGTCTTAAGTTTTAAGCATCACAGCAACACAATGACTACATATAAACGGAAACAGCGTACTTAAATAATGTAAGGCAGAAGTATTTTAATTAATATTAATAATTGAGCAACAGGGCCACGTTTTATAACATATTGTTCTTAAAGAATGTAGAGCAGAAATCTTTCAATTAACATTAATAATTGAGCATGAGTGCCACGTTTTATAACATCGCCATAACATATTTAAAGACATCATAACATCGCCATAACACATCACATCGCCACACATAAACACATCATAACACATCATAACATTGCCACGTTTTATAACATCGTTTTATAACATCGCCATACCCGCGCCACACAGCGAAATGTGGCGACGGTTGCCACAACGGTGGCGTCTGTGTGGCGCCAGACCTGTGCGCCTGCCGCCGTGGCTTCACGGGCCCGTCCTGCGAGCGCGACGTGGATGAGTGTGGCCTCGGCCTCCACAGGTATGGCTGCCCTCAGCCTCCACAGGTATGGCTGGCCTCAGCCTCCACAGGTATGGCTGGCCTCAGCCTCCACAGGTATGGCTGGCCTCAGCCTCCACAGGTATGGTTGGCCTCAGCCTCCACAGGTATGGTTGGCCTCAGCCTCCACAGATACGGGCCCTAATAAAGTTTCGTGTGGTCCGTCCCCCAGGTGCGGTCCCCAATAAAAATTCGTGCGGTCCCCAATAAAAATTCGTGCGGTCCCCAATAAAAATTCGTGCGGTCCCTAATAAAGTTTCGTGCGGTCCCCAATAAAAATTCGTGCGGTCCCCAATAAAAATTCGTGCGGTCCCCAATAAAAATTCGTGCGGTCCCTAATAAAGCTTCGTGCGGTCCCCAATAAAGTTTCGTGTGGTCCGTCCTCCCCCAGGTGTGGTCCCCGGTCTCGCTGCGTGAACCTGCCGGGCTGGTACACTTGCGTGTGTCTGCCGGGCTACACAGCCCTCCTGTCGGACCACACACACGGTCTCGTGTGTACTGGTGGGTCAAGTGTGCTGGTGGTCCCTGAATAATCCCGCTCACTTAGACGCCTCTTCCATGAAATTGATGTGATTAATTAATATTATTTTAACTAAGTGTCAAGTATTATCCTCATCTAATATAGCTAGCATCATTCATTCACATTAAAATAAGAAATAAGTTTAAATTGGATGGCAATAATTTAAATAATCTATGTTCCTCAGACGTGGATGAATGCAGCTCCAACATCCACACATGTCAGCCAAACGCGACCTGCACCAACACCCCTGGAGGCTTCCTGTGCACCTGCAACGGCACGGCACCTGCTGGGTCACCTGCCAGGTCACCTGCCAGGTCACCTGCCAGGTCACCTGCCGGGTCATCTGCTGGGTCACCTGATGGGGCACCTGCCAGGTCACCTGCTGGGTCAACTGCCGGGTCACCTGCCGGGGCACCTGCCGGGTCACCTGCCGGGGCACCTGCCGGGTCACCTGCCGGGGCACCTGCTAGGTCACCTGCTAGGTCACCTGACAGGTCATTTGCTGACCTCAAAGTTCACGACGACAAACAGCAACTGGACGACATTCCCGCTATTCGGAACGCACCACGCAATAACAACGAATACAGGACAACGAACCACGCATTCGTGGTCAATGAATCTTGCTCTCTCGGTTAGTCTGTTGCACCGGGTCCTAGAATTAGGTTACATTATAATTTATGTTGCTATATACCTAATGATGGCAGTCTTCAAACTAAACATCTAAAATAAAAATGCATATCCACTGACAAAATTGCCACACTGTAAAAAAATCTAATCCTCTGGCCGATGCAGCGATTTGATTAGAAAATCATTAACTAAAATATTTCCTCGAAAACCTGTTTGTTTGTAATAATATTTATAAGCATGGGATAAATTTGTGAGCACTAAACTTGATTTTTTTATTAAAATTTAAGAATGATATGAGTACATCTTTGAAAACCGTATGTAATATGAAAACTATCCCTCACACTGTATCTGCGCCCCTCCTTCTCACCCCTCACATTTCTCACTTCCCTCACCCCTCACTTCCTTCACCCCTCACTTCCCTCACCCCTCACTTCCCTCACCCCTCACTTCCCTCACCCCCACCCCCTCACACCCCTCACTTCCCTCACCTCCTCTCTCCCCTAACTTCCCTCACCCCTCACTCACCTCACTTCCCTCACACCCCTCACTCCCTTCACTTCCCTCACTCCCCTCACTCACTTCAGGCTGCGTGTCCGAGGGGCGTGCCCGTGACGACGGGGAGATGTGGACGCCCTCACACGCGCGGTGCTGGCAGTGTGTATGTAACGAGGGGCGTGTGACGTGTGACAAGTTCCTGTGTGACTGCTCCAGTGCCCTCGTCGACCCTCAGTGTTGCCCTCACTGTGATCCCAGGGCGTCCTGCCCCCACCAGCACCTGCCGCACGTCTCCTTCAGGAGTGGCCAGACCTGGATATATGAGTGCCAGACCTGCGAGTGTCTCGTGAGTTACGCTCAGGGAAATTAGCGAGACTTTTTGTCTAAATAGCGATGCAATTTTTGCCCCTTTTGTGGGTCATCCTGACGCAGTTTCGTTTGTGAAAATGGCGTACTAGAGCTACGTCCGCACGAGTGCTACGTTGCCTTTGCACTCGCGCGTGCAAAGGCAAGAAAGTGACTCTCAATACTGGGCAGGGTGGCCCAGTGGTTACAGTTCAGAGTGCCAAGATTGGCGCAGAGAGGTGCGGGTTCGATCCCAGCTCTGTGCGCCAGTTTCTGGTCAGAATCGGCGAGGAGGCCGGGCGGTTAAACACAGCAGAATTGTAGCAGTGAGTTGCGAGTTCGAGACCGTATCAAGCTGTGAATGTTCTGCGATGTTAAGAATCGGCGACAGGCCTACGGCCTAATAAAAACGCTGAAACCGCTAAATTGGTCCATAAGACTGATTCGTTTGTCTTGGTGTTACTTTGAGTAGTCATCTTCATCTAACATACACATTCATGCAGAGTGAAGAACGTTGGAAAAACTAGAAGTTTCGTATTAAGTTTATAATTTTTAATCATAATAGTATTTCGTTCATATTTCGTTTCAATATTTCGTTCTTATTTTTTCATTATCATAGTAAAATAATAAAACAAACTCAATATTTTCTTCTTAATTTTTCATTATCATAGTAAAATAAAAAAATAAATTTCAATATTTTGTTGCTATTTTTTCATTATAATATGTAGTAAAATAACAAAAAAATATAACTCAGTACTCACTGCAGTGAGTGACAGAGAGCGCATTTTCTCGTCGACGAAAACGTGAAGTCACAGACGGACGGACGGACAGACGGACGGACAGACGGACGGACGGACGGACAGACAGACAAACGGACGGACAGACAGACAGACGGACGGACGGACAGACAGACGGACAGACGGATATTTCAAGCACAATAGTGCATTTTTTCCATAAACGAAAAATGCGCTAAAAAAACGTCAATTTATTTCTAATTTTGTTTCCATAAATGAGAAAATGCGCTAAAAAGAAACTTACATTTTTATTCTAATTATATTCACAGTTGGGGGAAGTGGACTGCAGGCCCATGGAGTGCCCCGTGCCCCACTGTCCCTACCCCGTGAGGCAGCATGGGGACTGTTGCTCCAGGTGTCCCGAGGCTGACCCGTGTGCCGTGGGCCCCGTGAATGTCACGTCACCCGCGGGCCTCCCACAACCCTGTCACCTTCCCCCGTCTCTGTCAACACGTCGCCAGTACCCGTCAACTGACCATGACTGTCTCGACTGTCGCTGTCAGGTACAGTTGTTATATCTTCTGTCAGGTACAGTTGCTACTGCTTCTGTCAGGTACAGTTGCTATTGCTTCTGTCAGGTACAGTTGCTGTTGCTTCTGTCAGGTACAGTTGCTACTGCTTCTGTCAGGAACAGTTGCTATTGCTTCTGTCAGGTACAGTTGCTTTTGCTTCTGTCAGGTACAGTTGCAGGTTGCAGGAAGATACACATGAATTCAAATGATATCAACATTTGCTTCAAATTGCAGAATCATAGCAATACGTGATCCTCTTCCACAACAATCTTAATGATTGGAAAATCTTGAATATATATTAAATGTCAGGGTTCTATATGTTTTAAATAAGTCAACAAACTCGCTCTTAAAAAATATAACTCAGTACTCATTGCAGTGAGTGACAGAAAGCGTATTTTCTCGTCGACGAAAAAGTGAAGTCACGGACAGACGGACGGACATAGCGAGCACAATAGGGCATTTTTTCCATAAATGAGAAAATGCGGTAAAAAGCCTCTGCTCAATCTTGTATTTAAAGATCATTCAAGTTTCCTTAAAACCAATGTCAGAACTGTTTTCGCGGTCCTAAACTTGGCTATTTTGCTAGCGTAGCAATGGCGGCGCTGAAGAACAGGCCCGAGTTTGACCAGTCGCAGATTTTTGTACTACTCATGACTTGTTCACGAAATATCTAAAAACTTGCTTTCTAGACCAAAACTTACGATTTCTTGAAAAAGCTACTAAACTTTTACAAGATAAGTAAAGTGTTAGGCATTTCAAGTCTAAAATTATATATGCGTCTGTATAACTTTGTCTGGACTCTCCTTGAACGCGTTCTTGGTCGGAGCGTCAACGATGTCATCAGGGAGGCTGGTCCATGTCTCGGTGACTCGAATCCCGAGAAAATTTGCTAATAAGTTATTGCATTTGTGTCTAAAAATACTATCATAATAATATTGTAATAACACTATTAATTTAATGCTATTACAGATATAATTGTTGCCCAGGGGTGCAGAGTGGCCCAGTTGTTTTAAGTTCAGAGTACCAGGATTGACGCAGAGAGGCGCGGGTTCGATCCCAGCTCTGTGCGCCAGTTTCTGGTCAGAATCGGCGAGGAGGCCGGGCGGTTAAGCACAGCAGAATTGTAGCAGTGACTTGCGAGTTCGAGACCGCAAAAAGCTGAGAATGTTCTGCAATGTTAAGAATCGGCGACAGGCCTACGGCCTAATAAACGCTGAAACCGCTATATATATATTTTATAATACTGTTAATAACTCCTTCACGTGCGGTGCCCCGCTGTGTTGCAGGAGCCGTACTGCGGAACAAGCGACCTCCCTCCGCATGCATGGCACTCGTCGGGCTGGCGTGCGGACACCAGCGGCGCCAGAGCTCGGTAACTCTAGCAAGACCGGGCCCTGGGTCTGCTCTGGGTCCCGGGACTGCTCTGGGTCCTGGGTATGCTCTGGGTTGGCTCTGGGTCCTTGACCTGCCTTGGGTCCCAGGCATGCTCATGGTCCCGAGACTACTTTGGGTCCTGAGTCTTCTCTGGGTTGTGGACCTTCTCCGGACCTGGATTCTGCTCTGGGTCCTGTGTCTCCTCTGAGTCCCGGGTCTGCTCTGGGTGCTGGATCTCCTATGGGTTCTGGGCCTGCTCTTGGCCTGGATTCTGCTCTGGGTCCTGGGTCTGCTCTGCTCTTGGGATGCATTCATTGGTTAATGTGTTGCCCAAGTTGTCGTACCTGCACCATTCTTGGTTTTTTCTAATGATTGTGGTGCACAGTGACGTACAAAGAGTCTGATTTAATTTCTGATATTTTTTGAGGAAATTTGAACCAAGATCAGTGGTGATCCTGATCAAAACCTTGAAAATTCATTTCGGTTGTTTTAAATCTTTCTTTTGAAGTTTACAAAAACAATTTTATGAATGAGTTAACTTCTGCTATGACTACTGCTACCCACCCTAACAAAATTTAGAGGCGAGCCTGACTCTGCAATAGGTGCCGCCTAGGACTTGGTGAGCACGTGAATCAGCCTCTTATGGCACACCCTCAGGGACTATTATGTTGGAAAGCAGATTCTGACAAGAAGCTGATTTTAATCGGGTGGCCAAACAGACCCATAACAACTTAAAACCGAGTGTGGTGACTATATTTAGAAGCCTATAGGCGGTACCCAATTTTGTTAGGGTGGAGACAGAGTTGTAGTACGACTTTAAAAAATATCTTTGAACTGTATATACGGTTGGTGACGAATATTAATGGGAAAAGTGTTTTCGCATTTCGTTCAACTGAATTTTGTTGAACTAAATTTCGTTCGACTGAATATCGTTGAACTGAATTTCGTTTAACTAACTTTATTTTTACTTAATTTAGTGTAACTGAATTTTGTTCAATATAAAGACATGACATCGCTGATCATTTTAGTTTAAAGACCGTAAATATATCGTCATTTACATGCGAATTGAAATATTTATATCAGTCACCCCTAAATACTAGATTCGGTGAAGTTGATTTGTTCGAACTGTTCGTTTGTGATGCACTTTCTGGAAAATCCTCATGCGACTCCAAAATTCCTATCGTATTTTCCACTGCAGCGAAGTGAACATTTTTCTTCATTCAAGCACCTGAGTTTTTTTTACTTCCGTTTTTGTTATGGCTTGTATTCGGAGATTGATAGAGATTTTTATACCTGTTTCATACATCACATTTTACCTACATAATATTTAATATATCTTTTTTTCATTCTTTTCCTAAATATTTTTTGTTTGTTTTGTCTCTTTAAGTCGGATTCTCGCGGCGTGCAGGGAATCTTTCACGTATCTTCATTTTTCCAATGTAAAAAATAAAAATTTTCACACGCGCAAAATCTTTCAAGAGAAGAATTTTAGTAGAGTAAATTTTGTATCAAAACTGTGTTTTATATTGCAGTTGTTACACTGATGCACCAATAGCCGAAATAAATATTATTGCTTGTAAACCAAAATACAAATCAGTTTGAAACTTTTTTAGTTTCAAATGCGTTCGTGCCTGGGCATCTGCGAAAGATTTTACTGCTGCAGTTTTGATAGAAAACACGCAGAACAAAATATATATTTGGATTAAATGAGCAAAATATATGTTGAATTAAATGAACATAATATATATTTGAATTAAATAAACAAAACATACATTTTAATTTAATAAACAAAATATATGTTGAATTAAATGAACATAATATATATTTGGATTAAATAAACAAAACATACATTTTAATTTAATAAACAAAATATTTGTTCGAATTAAATGAACAAAATATATATATGAATTAAATGAATAAAACATATATATGAATTAAATAAGTAAAATAAATATTTGAATTAAATGAACAAAATATAAATATGAATTAAATGAACAAAATATATATTTGAATTAAATGAACAAAATATATACCTATTTTAATTAAATTCTCAATTTATTCTGGTTTCTTGCTCGCTATCCGAATCCGAAAAATTGTTTGCGTGCAAGCTATTTTCCGTTGTCCGTTTGGTTCGCTTCTATAATGTCCCTTTTTATTTATTATTGATTCATTATGTTTCCATTACTTTGTTTTTCCATGTAACCTTCGTTCCTCTATTGCTTCTGTGTCTATTGAGATTACGATGATTTTTGTGGGAAACAAATTGTCTATTTTTCGTTAATGTATTTCAAAACTTGTTTTTGAGTTGAACGAACTTTAGCTCTTTTAGCATATAATTTGTATTATAACTTATAATTTAACTCGAACAGGAATTATTGTCTATTTTTATTATCTCAACCTCATATCAGTGGCGTTATGTTTCCATTAATAGAGGCGTTCAAATCACTTCAAAATTATGTATTATTGATGTTATTTTTCATTTTGAATTGTTTTTTTAGTGTTTTTCTTCTTTGGTTTCTAAATTCTGACATTTGCATTCTCGTTTCTGAGCTATTGTTTCAATTTAATCTTATGATGAAGATTATTCGTCTGTCTATATATGGTCACTCATGTTCCAATGCCTTGAAATACTGAATCAATAGAGCATTAAATTTTGATTAATGTATCCGTAGCCAAGTTTTGCGCTATTATTTTCTCCTGAAAACTTATATAAGTAATCTAAATGAAATATTAAAACATATGTTCTTGAAGCTGTAATTTTATTAAAGTTAACTAATTAAATTTATTGTTTTCAGGTGTGGGGGGTCGCCATCTTTAATTCTAGTCGTGCTGTGGTTGAGCACTGTTCAGTGGCCACAGCATATACACGCTGCCATTAGTGACGTCCACAAGTGGCGGCCAGTGACAGCTTCACCATTAGTGTTCACTGTGAAAGTGAAAACCTTGTGCTCCTGTTCAGTAGTTTATCTATGATCTAAGTCACTTTGATGGTATTACTTATTTAAATAAGACATTTTATTTACGGTATTCTACTTTTGTAAGCAAAAAAGCATTTTCGTTTGCGAAGATATTCTCATGTAAACATGGCATCTTTTATCTCCATAAATATTATTATACACAATTTTATCTAATATACTTCAAAAAGTTTCATCACAACCACAATTCAAACCAGAGTTTCACTGCAAATTCATTACAAATGGTCATTATTCACGTCCATCACCATAAGTTGATTATTAAATAGGGTTAAATAGGGCTATTAAATGAATAATAACCCTACTCGTTTATTAATTAGCTTTTACTGATGTTCCTGAACTTCAGTTGAAGATTTCACGACTGTTCCAATTCCTTTAGTTGAGTAAAGGATTCGTAAAACGTTTGTATCGAATGAAAAAATTTATTAAAAATGAATTATTTATATTTATTTTGTCTCGTATTATTACGAGTACTGAAGTTTAAATAGCATGCAGTGAAGTGAAACAGACATTAATCCACTATTTGGAACTCCTGATTGTATATTAATATATTAAAAACATTGTTTTATTTTAAAATTATGGCTATTGTACAGTCGTGTGAGGAACAAAGTTATTACAAACCATTATATTATTAGCTGGCTAATTACATAATTTTGACTAATTACATGGAAAACAATTAGCTAAATAATAATGTGCTAGGACTCATGGCTAAAAGTAAGGCTAGATGTTTATTTGTTCTAAAACTAGAACAAATAAATCAATCTAGTATTTCTGCTGCCTAGAAGAAATGGCTCGACATGTGAGGTTTTCTCAGTAATTTCAACTCACTTCTTCGTCTTATCAATTTTCTATCTTTTAATTTCAATTTTCTCTGACATAAAATTAGTAATTTCAACTCACTTCTTCGTCGTATCAATTTTTTATCATTTAATTTCAATTTTCTCTGTCATAGAATTAATAATTTAAACTCATTTTTTCGTTCTATAAATTTTTTAATCTTTAATTACAATTTTCTGTGACATAAAATTAGTAATTTCAAGTCACTTCTTCGTCTTATCTATTTTACATCCTTTATTTTAAATTTTCTCTGGTATAAAATTAGTTATTTCAACTCACTTCTTCATCTTATGATTTTTATTTCCTTAATTTAAAATTTTCTCTGACATAAAATTAAAATTTCAACTCACTTCTTCGTTCTATCAATTTTCTAATCTTTAATTACAATTTTCTGTGACATAAAATTAGTAACTTCAACTCACTTCTTCATCTTAAAAATTTTCTATCTTTTATTTTAAAATTTCTCTTACATAAAATGAGTAATTTCAACTCACTTCTTCGTTCTATCAATTTTCTAATCTATATTTTCAATTTTCTCTGAAATACAATTAGTAATTTCAACTCACTTTTTCGTTCTATAAATTTTATTTCTTTAATTTTAAATTTTCTCTGGCATAAAATTATAATTTAAAACTTACCTCAAAGATTAACTATGCTTCTTGCGTCTCTTCATGGTACCTTCCCGTCTTACATTCCAGAAGATTACAGTATTGACCGACTTTAAAATGTTATTTTATTTTAGAATTATGTAAGTCTTGAATATTTAGTTGATAAGCTAAGTAAATTCAGGCTAATAATGCTCTGCTCGAACTAAATTAATTAGTCTAATATATTTCATTAACTAATTAGTCTAAGAATGTTCAGTATTTTGTTCGCTAAATTTTTCATTTCTTGATTGCAAAAATTGCGCGATCATAAATAACTCCTCCATTGTAAAAATTTGCCTACATTTTAAATAACAATGTTTTCTTAATTGCAAAGATGGCGTGATTTTAAATGACTCCTTCATTGTAAAGTGTAACCTACATTATAAATAACAATGTTAAAGTTACTTGAAATGGTTTAAACCCAATTTATGACCGTGGGTTGAATATAACTACTTAACCGTGGGTTGAATATAACTACTTAACTTTGGGTTGAATATCACTGCAAACGTAGAATTCAACTAAAACTAGTCCATGTAAGATTTATCAGTTTGATCTCTTTGTAACTTACTAGTCTCATAACTATATCAGCCTCAATAGATCTCATGGCAACTACTAGTCATAGTTTTATTTATTTGTTTGTATGCGATATGTGAACAAAATTTTGCTTGTGTTTTACGTTATGATTGTTTACGAGATTTTGCTTCTAGGATCTAAATTATATTTTTTATCCAGATGACTTTGAAATGCTCATATTTCCAGAATTATTCATTTTAATAGAACTTTCACTTACTCTAGTTGGCTAGAATTATTTTTTAAAAACTGTGAATGTTA